AACTCTTATTCGTTTCCTCCTCTACGGTACATTCATAACGACCATTGCCGAGTACAACGAAAAGTACAACTAGACTACTTATTCCAGCCAGGTAAGTGTTATTATTGCAACTTTTATTTTGATTGAGAAATAATGCTGTTTTGTGTGCATTCTGAATGAATTTATCAAACATTAGATGCTTTCGAGCCAACAAGGAAGTCCCCATCTCGGTCTCTCATCCACTCACTGTTCTTTATGCTTAGCATTGTCATTTTTCAACTGATATGATACATCATTATGGATTTCTGCTAAATCAGCATTTCACAGAAACTATCTGTACCTTTGATTTCATTGTGCACATTGATGCATGTGTCAAAAGTTTGGTATAATTTATCATACTCTACGTTAAAATATCATACTGGATTTCAAGTGCATTATGAATGAGAAGGATGGGAAAATAGATAGATATCAACATGCATACCGTAGAATAGAAACTGACATTTCTCATATGTCTTATTTTACTCCATAGAGACTAAGTTAAGGATGCAAGATACCATTCTCCGGGTGTTTGTGCTGGCAGTTAGTCTACTGTATCCCATCCCCAGAGAGGACAGAACAGGACAGCAGGATGATCACATAATGGGCATGCAGGAGCGTGAAGATTGGCTGTTGAGGGAGAGGGCAAAGATGGAACAGGAAGTGCCCCTCATCAATCAGGAAGGGCCCATCGACCACAAACCCTTACAACTTGAAGTACAACAGGTCTATCAAATCAACCAGAACCATTATCAAAAAGGCTTGGAAGAGACTCTTATCGAACAGAAACATTCTCAAGAGAACAAAGAGGAGAAAGATGAAGAGAAAGAGGAGGGATCTCACATTGACCAGAAGCTTTCACAAGTACACCAAGATGTAGCTAAGACAGAGCAAAACCTCTCACCAGAGGACAAGGAACAGTCTACCATTGACCTCAGCCTATCATTAACCCTTTCACAAGGAAACCAGGAAGTGCCTCATGACCAAGAGCAGCCTGATTCGGACACAGAGGCATCTCACATTGACAAGAAGCCATCCCACTTGGACAAGGACATGGTGAATGTCAATCAACAGTGGCCACAAGATGTCCAGACTGGTAGTTGCCATGGTGACAAACAGACATCACCAGAGCATCAGGAAAAGTCTCAGGTCGACCAACAGCAGTCTAAAACAGACCAGGAAGCAAACCAGGAGGTGCCACCCATCTTCAGTGAATCATCAGAGGGGAACCAGCAAGAGCATCTCAAAGACCAGCCGTCTAACACACATCAGGAAGTAAAAGTACAACCTAATCTCAAAAAGTCATCAGGTGACCAGCAACATCTCACAGAACAGTATAACACAAACCAGGAAGAGACACCGATTCTCAGCGAATCATCAGAGGATGACCAGCAGCAGGAGCATGTCACTAATATCATAGACTGGGAGAGCGACTACACCTGGTACCTATGGAACGCATACTCCCTCATCTCTTTTGTCCATTTCTCCATTAAATTATTCAGAAGACATTCACAGAAGAAGCCCCATCCAGGAGAGATCATTTATGAAGATATGGAAAACATCTCTGTCATGAAAAACCTCTCGGCTGAAGTTCCGCTACCGGACAGTGATACACTCAACCGTTTTTACAACAAATGTGTCAAAGTCTCGCCCAATGAGAGCTGGAGGGTGAGTGAGTTTGTGGAGGGTTTTGCTAATGACCTATTAGAAGCCATGAGGAGCATGCGTGACGTGGAGGTTGGCATGGGGATTGAAGACTTTGTGGTGGAGGGCGGGATCAGTTCCCTTGTATGTAACATCACAGTCCCCATTGCCCCACTGGAGCCATACAGTTTCCAGTTTCAACTCTGGTGTAACCAAGCTATTGATGATATGCCACCTGAAATGCAGGGCTGTGGTAGAGTCAAAATGGTGGATGGTGGTGTGAACCAAAATGGCTGCCCATGTCGCACAGCTGCCATAGAAGATGATGATATGCTATGCCTGCTGTGTGGTGACAATGAGAAAGTCAAAGTGGTGAAAGTCACTGATGTATTGGATAGCGCTCTTTGCTCAAAAAACACCCCTTACCTGGCCAAAACCCAGGTTACCAAATGGTTCCAGACTGCGATTAGAAAAGCTTGGGGACAGATATCCCACAAATACGAATTTGAGCTAACGTTTCGCAACATGGACGCACCGGGAGCTCTGATGGTTCGATTCAGATCAGGGAAGGTGATAACCTTCAATATGGCCCCCGTGGTGAAACTCAAAGACATTGAAGCTTATTTCACCATTTCTCCTTCCACCCCAACTAGGAATGCCTTGGACACGTACTGGAGCCTCTCATTGGCCACTTACGAGGACCACTTCCTGAAGTATCTGACCAATCACCTGCCTGAAAACCCCTGCCACATTCACTGCCTTGAAATTTTAGCATTCCTTCACAAAAAGCAAACAGGCCTCACAGGCAAAAGTGTCCTTACCGATTATCACTTCAAAACAGTGTTAATTCACTTGCTTTTGAGTAAAGAGCCTTCAGACTGGTACCCTGAACACTTGGCTAGCAGGCTACGTGATGCATTGAGCTTCCTGGAAAATAGCCTTCAGGGCAGGAAGTTGCATCACAGCTTTATTGGAAATCCTCTGGTTCCAAGTGAGATTGGACTCCCTGCTGTATTTAGTGATGCAGAGCCTGTAAACCTCTTCTGCCCTCTTGGGGTACAAAATGGCAGCTACACCAAAACTGTAAAGCACTTGCAAGAGATGCTCAGGAACACTTCCATGCTGATACAAGAGTATTTGCCAAAAGGAATGCAATGGTCTGGACAAATCTTAAACTGGTATAGAGGACAGTGTTGAACAATTTGAAAGGTTGATACTGGACAATTAACTGTAAAGGGAGACCTTTTTGGCAGCTCTACAATGACATTTTTAAATACAGAGAAGTGCATTACATTTACATTTTAGTCATTTAGCAGACGCTCTTATCCAGAGCGACTTAGTAGTGAGTGCATACATTGTTCATGCATCATGAGGAAACATGCATTTGCTTAAGTGGTTTAATGTTAAAATGCAACAAAAAAGTTCCCTCTGGACCCAAATAAATGCTTATTTGATAGTTCTAAAATACTTCGCGTTTCAGCATTCAAATAATTTCCTAAAGCCTATTTGAAAATGTTAAAATATTTCCAAATACATTTCATACCTGGGTTCAACTGCATGGGAGTATATACACTGAACACAAATAAACACAACAATTAACAATTTTACTGAGTTAGAGTTATAGGAATCAGTAAATTGAAATGCATTCATTAGGCCTTAATCTAGGTATTTCACATGACTGGGCAGGGGTGCAGCCATTGGTGGGCCTGGGAAGGTATAGGCCCACCCACTGCAGAGCCAGGCCCAGCCAATCAGAATGAGCTTCCCCCCCCAAAAAAGGGCTTTATTACAGACAGAAATACTCAGGTTTCAGCAGCGTCCAGGTGGCTGGTCTCCAATGATCTACAGGTGAAGAAGCCGGTTGTAGAGCTCTTGGGCTGGCATGGTTACATGTGGTCCGCGGTTGTGAGGCCGGTTGGACATACTGCCCAATTAAAATATTGAGGCAGCTTATGGTAGAGAAATGAACATTCAATTCAGCTCTGGTGGACATTCCTGCAGTTAGCATGCCAATTGTGCACTCCCGCAATTTAGACAGTGGCATTGTGTGACAACACTGCACATTTGAGTGGCCTTTCATTGTCCCTAGCACAAGGTCCACCTGTAATGATCATGCAGTTTAATCAGCTTCTTGATATCCCAGGTGGATGGATTATCTTGGCAAAAGAGAAATGCTCTAACAGGGATGTAAACAAATGTGAACAAAATTTGAACTAAGCTTTGTGCGTATAGAACATTTCTGGGATCTTTAATTTCAGCTCATGAAAACCAACACTTTACATGTTGCGTTTATATTCTGGGATTTTAAAATGCACCATTAAAGTATTTAACTTCACATGCCAATAAATGCCAAGTGCAGTTCCAAATACATTCCAATAAAACATATCCAAATACTTAAGATGTCTGAAAGTAATCAACTTAAATAGTATTTGAACCCAGGTCTGCGTGGACCTCTGCAGCCATTTTGAATTAACTCAATACACATGATAGTTTAAAAAAGTTTATTTTATCAAACAAATTGTCCACTTCTCATTAAATCCTTCCAACAGCACCTAGAACCATGAGGAAAAATATATGCAGAAATTAGTGCTCATACATTAACATAACATTAAGAATGAAACATTCTTAAGAATTAGGCAGAGGGACTGACACTACCTTTAGTAGCCCCATCCTTGAAGGTCTTCATGCTCCATTTTTAGCATGTGGCTCTACCATGCCATTTTTGCCATGGTCAATCGTCATAATATGACTGGTCACAGTCCGCGCGTGAGCTATGAGAGCGTTATCAGATCAGTATTGTATTTACCACAGAGAGATTAGGGTCAAACAAACCATAACGTTGAATATAAAATGGTGGTATGAATGCATGCCCGCGTTAGGTCCTCAAAATGGCTTCCCATTCCCTTCTCTAATGCTCCCAGATGAAAGTGTTGATAAAGAGACAGGACAATGAGACAAGCCATGACTGGTCATGAACCAGGCCTATATGCTCACCGAATGGTTGTGGAGAAGGACAAGAGCTGACACAGCAGGAGCAGACCGCAGCGTCACCACACAGTTCAATCCATCTAGGACAATCACAATAAATATTAGTTAGACCTCATAGCTAGGAGTCCCTCTGAACTCATGTCATCATTCAGGTGAACCTACTTTTTAGTCTTTGTGTCATAGTTGCAGGATTTGGAACTTGGAGTTGGTGTGACATTCCCAGTAGTTATTTTACAGTGCAAGTAGAGTTTCCGCTAAAAATAAATGTAGGTCCTCTTTATTACTGTAGGCTTACATAGTATTAAATAATCAAAAACATCATGATTAGGTGTTTAGAGATTCACACATTTGAGTCAGACCTGATTGTCCAGTTCCTGGAAGATGAAGGCTCCGACACTGAACCTCAGACCGTTGGTGGTATGTGACAGGAACTTTGACTGGACAGTATTCTTGCCATCCACCATGCATCTAGTGAAGAGAAGATTGTGTACTGAACACACTAGTCCCTCCAACTCAAGACAAGGTTCACCCGCTGGTTCTTATTAGCGCCTTGTAAACCAGGGACTGATTTAGACCCAAGACACCAGGGCTGTGTTTACACAGGCAGACATTTCTGATTTCTCTCGTCGTTGAGGTTTAACGGCAGTTGGCGTTCAATGTTGCATTACCACCCCCAACTGAACTATCCCTCTGTGCTGGCACAAATATACCATTCACAGGGATCTCTCAGAATCACTCACCCTTGACCCCATCCTCTACGTCACTCCCTCAGCATACGACACCTTCTGCACTCTGACTCTAGCCACCTCCACCTCTTGCGCTGAACACTTCCGATGCCCAGAAACATGTGCCCCCTACAGTTGACACCAACGAAACTACACAATACTCGATCCCATGCCCTACTACACACTGATGCGACATGACCATAAATATTGCACCTGAAACAGTGCAGTGGATTTGCCACAAAAGCTCTAACAGGATAACTGATATATCCTAACATGACTGTCAGGTAAAGACTGACTCAACTCAAAAAGGACTGACAGTGACTCAGTTTCACCACTAGGGCTGCATTTCGCCAAACTGCAAGCATCACAAACAGGAATCTTCAACTTCAATTGCGCCACCTCCATACTTAATGATACCCCAGAAATCACTATCTTCAATGGTGCCCTGTACCTAAGCGCAACGCAAGGCTATCCCAAGTTACATCACACGGAGCGCCTGCTCCCTCTGATCTGAAGAAACACAATCACAAGTCCACATCGGGTTACCTTCACTGACTCAAAAGCATCCACCATCTTTTCCACCAAACCTAAAACCACCCATGGATTAGTCAAAAAGGCCTGGTTCCACCCTCTACAAAAATTCACTCCCACTGGACCAAGTGCATGTCCATCAATGCAAGGCTTGTGCGCAGAGCTCCTCACAAAACCTACCCCTCCCATTTCACCTCAGAACTGGCGTCCGGCTCACTCTGAACTTCAATCTTCCGCAACATACCCTTTTCCCTGTTATTGCTAGCGTCATATTCAAACCCAGCCTCTTCCGCCATCCATCTTTACAACTTCTTTCCCTCCAATGCTCTTCCCTTAACCAATTACCCAACTCCTGAACATTCTACTTTTCCCAGCCGAAATATCGTCAGCCTCTTTGAGAGACATGGTAAGCCCTGTACTCCCACCACGTCAAATGCTGATTTGTACTAATTGGTCTTTTAACCAATCAGATAAGCTCTGAAAAAGACTGATTAGTTAGAAGACCAACTAGTGGAAGAGAACAGAATTGGGCTGCCTGTATAAACAACCCAGGTGTGGAATCTAGCCAATTAACAATCAAGCAATTAACTACCAGGGAGAAGACCAAACCAGCCCAAGAGAAATTGTAGTTCTATAATGAAGACGTTTTACCCATAGTTATCGACCACACTGTATTTGGGAGTGGATCTAGGGTTGGAGCTCGCAGTCACATAACAGTTGTTGACATACACCCGCCGATGCCTAGAAATAGTGGGAACTTTGGCCTCAAAGTACATTGGTTGTCCCAGGATATAGCTTTTATCTGCAGTGAGCATGTTCCATGAATCTGAAGAAAAAGCATAATGAGTTAAGGTTCTTTAACAGAAAACAGTGCTCCCCAAAAGTACATTCTGATTTAGGTGATTTGTCGAAAGTCAACTCACCATCATAAGGTGTGAGCGTGACGCCGGCCTTGGATTTAAGGGCCTTGAAGACTTTTCTTCCCTCCAAACGAGGATGAAAGCCAACCTTGTAAGAGTGGTGGATCCTGCAGAAAATGGCCATTAGTGCAGTCACACTCCAATAATGTCCAGACTAGCATTCTACCTAGTATGGAGCCATGTATAGGATATGCTAGTGTGGACATTGGAATGTAGCCACCAAATGTAAAATCATGTAAAGTGGTAGTTTACCGATTGTAGCGGCATTCAAGGTAAATAGAGAATGGCAACTCCCTCACAATACCGCCGATAGCCTCTGGCTCATACTTCAGCACGTTGGAGTAGGAAATATAGTCAGCGGTACACTGGAATAGGAGAAACACCTCTAAAAACTACCAATACATCTGAACATACTCAAAACATAGCCATAGAAATACAATCCCTTCAGACCATTGCAATTTGACAGGATCACTCAATGTCTGATAGTGACAGGGGATTGTATTGGTAACAGACCTTTCTGTGGAAGCCACAGCTTTTGATGTTGTAGAGCATGTAGTGGTGTTCAGCTGTGGATTTGTTGACAGTGCAGTTGTGGAGTTTGAGGTACTTGCAGGCGTTGGGGTTGGTTAAGGCGTCCTTTCTAATTCTCACATAAATCCTGTCAAGGTGGCACAGGATCTCAATCTTCTTAGAGTGAAATGGAGGAGTGGTCGTCGGAGGTGTGGTGGGCAGCAGGATGTGCTTGACGGAGTGGGGCAGCGGCCTGAAGTTCCCTTCAGGCTTGAAGAGGTATGCTTGGTCCTCAGAAGCGCGAATAGGGATGTATTCTGGTAGCTTCAAATAGTCTGGCTTATGAGAATGTTTCAACATGAGAGTGTCTGTAATTTGAGAATGAGATCTGACCTTGGGTTTAGATTCATCATCAAACCCCAATCGCTCCATCTCATCCCACAGAACCTCAGTGTCATTCACATCATAATCAAAAGGGAAGCCCTGACCTGGCAAACCATAAACTGAGTAGTAACTCATGAGCAAAAGCACCAGTGCCAATTTCACCATCTTGCGCTTCACCACCAACTCTCGCTCAACTAATCCAGAACAGTGACAAGGTGACTGAGCAAACAGCCATTTGCTTGTGTGGTTTATATAGCTGCTACAGCACCCAAGTAATTGCAACACCTGGTGATGACGTTAATCAGTAGCAGAATCAACCAATCAGCAGTCACCAGGGCCCAGTTTTTCAAAAGTTATGTGATCGGATTTCTTTTTATTCTGATCCAATCTGACCTTTAATCAGGATTAAATGTTGTTTTTGCGTTTTTCAAAGGTGATTCGGATAGTTTTAATGCCAGAAATCGGGATTATCTTGATCCCACTGGAAGGGTGGATTCATAATTTCATTTTAAAACAGCCATAAATGGCCTTGTGACCGGGAATGGAAATTTGATATGTGCAACAGGGAGGGGCAATTGAAAGTAAGATTCACAATTAAAGGTTTTATTGTTGAAACCTTTCTAGCCTGTCTATCTATGGGTAACAGGGTTGACGGTATGTTTGACCCACTCACTTTTCCACCACAAAATACCAGAACATGGGCAAAAAGAGTAGAACCAGCTCAAAAAGGAATAGTTTCACCACATTAAAATGAGAGTTCAGTTCAGGGTTGACCTTAAATGAGGGACAGACGCAAATTTTCACATTAAATAAATAATAATCTTCAGAAATTACTTTGTCAAAGCAACAAAAATAACTAGGGCTTTACAATGATGGTGGACTCTTGGAGAAATGTTGGTATTAAGTGGGTTAAAATCTTCCTAGAAGTCACAGAGGGTGCACGGAGTGACATGTCAAAATGATGAATTTTGGCACTTTAGCAAGTCATTATTCATATAAAAAATCTGTTTATTGAATTCGCCTTATTTCCTAGTGCCCAAAAAGACGGGGGGAGTGAGGCCGATTTTGGATTTACGCATTCTCAATGAGAGCATAACCAAACGGCCCTTCCGAATGCTAACGACAAAACGTCTGCTGGAATGTGTCCAGAGAGGGGACTTTTGTACGAGCATAGACCTAAAGGACGCGTACTTTCATGTGCCGGTTCAGCCGCGTCACAGGAAGTTTCTGCGGTTCGCCTTTCAAGGGGTGGCGTACGAATACACGAGGATGCCATTTGGGTACGCCCTGGCACCTCGCACATTTTCCAAGTGTGTGGAGGCGGCATTGGAACCGTTGCGTCATCAGGGAATATGGCTACTAGCCTACCTGGACGACCTACTGGTTCTCGCCCCGTCAGCAGAGCTGGCGATCACTCACACAACACAGACAGTGATGCATCTCACAAGTCTGGGGTTCGCTGTGAATTGGAAAAAGAGCGCGCCCTGGCCCACTCATCAGATTGTCTACCTGGGGATACAGCTAGACACTGTGAGGATGAGGGCTCGAATTTCGGACCCCCGAAGGGTAGCCTTGTTGCTAGCCCTAAGGAAGTGTCGTCCGAATCACACGGTGACGGCGCTGTCGATCATGTCACTTTTGGGTTTCATGTCGTCAGCCCACTCTGTGGTTCCGCTGGGACTCCTGCACATGCGCAGGACGCAGCGATGGTTCGCCCAACTAAGACTAGACCCATTGCGTCAACGTCATCGGTTGGTGGTGGTTCCCCTCTCGCTCAGTGCAGACCTAAACTATTGGAGAAACTCGCGCGTTCTCACGCACGGAATCCCGATAGGAAAGGTGTCCTCTCACATCCCAGTATTCACGGATGCGTCCCTGACGGGATGGGGAGGGACATGTCAGACACAAGCGATAGGAGGTGTGTGGCCTCAATCAGGTCGTCACATCAACCTCCTGGAGTTGGAAACGGTTCGACTGGTTCTGACCCACTTCGCGTCTACCCTTCGGGGTCGCGATGTGCTGGTCTGGTCAGACAACCGGACCACAGTAGCCCACATAAATCGCCAGGGTGGAGTCAGGTCGCCTGCTCTCCATCGGGCGGCAGAGGAATTGTGGCTGTGGGCTCACGAGCACCTTCGCTCATTGAGAGCAGCACACATTCCGGGCTACTTGAACGTAGGAGCAGACCTCATGTCAAGAGGGGGTCCTCGAGACGACGAGTGGTGTCTGCATCCAGACATTGTTCTCCAGATTTGGGAACAATTCGGAAGAGCCAGGGTGGACCTATTCGCGTCACGCGTGAACGCGCAATGTCCTCTGTGGTTCTCTCTGAGGGAACAGGACGAACCGCCACTGGGAAGGGACGCCTTTGCGCACCAACCGTGGCCGAGAGTTCTCCTGTATGCATTCCCTCCGCTGTCCTGCATTCTCCCACTGCTAGCCAGGGTGAGGTCAGGGGGGCTGTCAGTGATACTGATAGCGCCCGATCGCCCGGGGGCTCCGTGGTTTGCGGAGATGAGTCAGATGTTGATTGCCCCACCTTAGCCAATTCCACATCGACGGGACGCGTTGTCTCAGGCGGCTGGCACGATAGGGAAATTGCCCATAATCGGCCAACCACTGAAGGCCTGGCTGCTGAGAGGGACAGGCTAGAGCGCCGTGGGTTATCTGATGCAGTGATCAGGACCATACAGGGTTCACGTGCCAGTTCCACTTCTAAGATGTATGCCAGTAGATGGAACGTGTTTTCATGATGGTGTGTCACACAAGGTGTGGACCCCATGAGCTGTCAGGTGGAGAGTATTCTCTTTTTTCTGCAGCTCATGTTTGATAAGCAAAAATCGCCTGCCACGATTAGAGTGTTTGCAGCAGCGATTTCAGCTTGTCATGAGGGTTTTGGCAGAGACAATGTCTTTAGTCACCCTCTAGTGAAACGCTTCCTATTAGGAATGCGGCGACTTAGGCCAACACCTAGAGTCACGCTTCCTCAGTGGGATTTGGCTTTGGTACTCGAAGCGCTATGTAAGTCGCCGTTCGAGCCATTGAATCAAATACCCCTCAAGATGCTGTCTATCAAGACAGCACTGTTGCTCGCTTTGACTACAGCTAAGCGGGTCAGTGATTTGTGTGCTCTTTCGACGAGACCTGACTGCCTGGCCATCAATGGTGACCTGAGCAGAGCAGTGTTACGTCCTAACCCGGCATTTGTGCCGAAGGTTATTAAGAGTTCATATAGGTCACAGACCGTGGAGCTGTGGGCTTTTTCTCCTCCTCCTCATAGAGAGAGGAGTGAGGAGAAGCTCCATCGCCTGTGCCCGGTACGCGCTTTGGCGTGTTACGTCGAGCGCACAGCAGCGATTAGGTCATCGCCTCAGTTGTTTGTGTGTCACGGTGCGGCTGCACTAGGTAGACCACTTTCAAAACAGAGGCTGTCTCACTGGCTTTGTGAAGGCATTGAGACAGCTTATGAGGTAGCAGGGCGGCAATTGCCTCAGGGTATCAGAGCTCACTCCACTCGTGGAGTAGCGGCTTCTACTGCCCTTTTTAGAGGAACAGGAGTAGAGGATATCTGTAGAGCAGCATCCTGGTCGACGCCGTCTCCATTTATCCGTTTCTATCTCTTTGATATGTCTTCTAATTCTCTGGCTCCATCTGTACTCAGCGTGGCTGAAGGGAGATCTTGAGCAAGAAAGAGAGGAGAAGCAGGACTGTGGACTCAGGTTTCCATCAGGTCCGCTTTGGTTAGGAAGACGTGTTTTTGACAGATGTGTTTTCTAACTCTTTGGCTCGGTCTGTACTCAGCATAGCTGAAGGGAGATCTGGAGCTAGGAAGAGAGGGAAAAGCAGGACTATGGACTGGGTTTCCATCAGGTCCGCTTTGGATAAGAAAACATATTTTGTAACATGAATCCTGACTGACAGGATCAGTACATGAGGTCATGACCTCAGACATGAGGTCATCTATCTGCTTGTTCAGTTAGTATGACTCATGTTTTTGTTCCTGCCCACTAATCTCTGGGATTCCATTGAGTGAGTGAGGCGGTCTACCGCGTTCATAATGTAGAGTGACACTTGATGTCATTCCATTAGTGGTCGGTAGTGTTTTCACAGGATATTGAGGCACATCTATCTGCTAGTACAGATTAGTATGGCTTCTATTCTGGTGATCTGCCCACTAGTCATTGGCATTGCCATTGGACTAGGTGGGGCGGGTCTTTAACCGATGACGCGGTATATTGTGACGCCCGTAGGGGTTTTTAGTTGCAGTACTGTGGGACTCGGTTGCAGCCATTGCTAGGCTTGACTTTCTCGTTTCGATGGGAAGTGTTAGGCTCGGCAGGGAGTACATTTTGGAGCGCTACGCTCCGCCTTAAACCATTAGGAGCAGAGCTCCCCTATGGGGCGGAGCTCCACGATATAGAACGATTAGTTACCGGAGTGTAACTCCAGTTCTATGAGTGGAGCGGAGCCCCATAGGACTTAAGACCCTGCCGACCCTCTCTAGTCTCGCTGAAGAAAGATATCTCGGGAGGCTGATTGAGGGGAGGCACCCCCTCTTATAGGGACACCTGTACTCCTATTGGCTGTAGGTGTGTGCATAATTTTGTCTCAGGCTGTTGCTGCCTTAGGGCAGAGGGTAAACCATTAGGAGCAGAGCTCCCCTATGGGGCTCCGCTCCACTCATAGAACTGGAGTTACACTCCGGTAACTAATCGTTCTCTTCTTCTTCTTCTTCTTCTTCTTCTTCGTTGGGGTTTATTGGTGGTTGGCATCCAATATGTTGCATTACCGCCCCCAACTGGACTATGGTAGAAATCCATGACACTTTCTGAAACAAAATAATTACCAAAAAATGACCACCCTTCCAACTAACCCTACACTCATTAAAAACCCACTACCCCATTCCACTACATTGACCCTAACTGCTCCTGCACCATGCCAACGGCCTGAAAGGAAGGGACACCACCACTCAACACACCCTGTATCTCTTCTGAAGTCAAATCTCGTACACCCAAGTACTTCTCTGCAGCTGCCACCACAACATATATTTTCTGTGATTTACATTACATTTCTGCGTTACTTTTTTCTTCTTCTTTTTTTTTATTTTTTATTTTTATTTTTTACAGTTGATAACCATTGCTATGAACGCTAAGAAGCCAACATTA